CAGAATTTCTCATTCTTACTTGCTATGATCAAGCCTCATCTCTACTTCTCATTAACCAGAGATCCTGGGCCTTTCTCGGTTTCCTCATCTGCAAAATGGGACAATACTAATACTTCTCATAAAGTAACATGGCCATGGCAAGTGCCTGGGGCAGTACTTGGCGCATGGTAAGCACTGCAAAATTGCTATTGTTATTGTCAGTTTTATGGAAAACAATGAAACTTGGGCCCCATCTCTCCACTGCATACTTTGCTTGTTTGAGATAGTGCCTCACATAGCCCAGGCTGGCCTCTAACTAGTTATGTAGCCAAGGATAGCCTTGAACTCCTGATCCTCCTCAGTCTGGCATTACAGACATGGATCTGGCTCTCCTGCGCATTTTGATTGCTGAATTTTTTTGTGTATGAGATTACTGTCAGAATCTGATGATTGTCTGAGAAAACCTCTCCCAGGGAAAGTATAGACTGTCCATTCGAGTGTGCACACACCCTCCAGTCACACTCGATATTTACAGACCTCTGAGGCCAAGGCAGTGATCCCAGATCAAGAGTTTCAGAAAGCAAGGATCACAGCCCAGTGGGTGCCTTTCGTCTGTAATCAGCAGAGTGGGACTCTGTCTCCAAAGCAGAGACAGGGAAGGGATGAAGGAGGACGAGGAGGAGGAGCACAAAGGGGAGGAGGAAGAGGAGAAGGAGAAGGAAGAAAAGATGGAAAAGGAGAAGGAGGAAGAAGAAGAGGGAAATCCAGGGTCACAAACAGCCCTTCAAAGACTAGAGGCTGTGATCTCCTGGTGGGAGCAGCCAGGTAGTCAGGCAGTGAGTGACTTTTTCGGGGCTGGGCTGTGTGAACGGGCTTTAAGTCAGCAGCTATTTTTAGCTTCGCTTTATATGGCCAGGGAAGGATTGAGGGCTATAGTGGGGAGGGCGCCAAGAGGCTCTAGCCCAGGGGCCTTCCCAGCCCCCACCCCTTCCCATGCCAGAGCTGAAGAACTTCACTTTCATTAAAGCAAGCGGGCAGCTGGGGGAGGTGGGAATGGCAGAGCCTTCAAAGAAGGTTCTGGGCAAGTTGCTTTAGAACAGGAACTGTCAACTTTTTAGGCCATGGCCTGCAGTAACAACATGGCACAAATACACACATTTTTTTTAAGACACACGGTGATACATATATGTGTCTATACATTACACCTATGTATATGCATGTGTACATATAAAACCTCAATTAAATTTTTTCAGGAAATCATGCTCATCTTGTTCTCCATGAAAGACTCCAATAGTTTCTGTTCTAAGCCTACCAGTCTTTCAACCCCAAAAATGTAGGTCCTGACCCACTAAATTGATGTGTCTACCAACAAACCAACAAACTGTCACCTCCGGTCTGGAAAGCTGAGGTTTGCTCGGGTTTAGTCACAGCTAACTGCAAGGTAAGGCAGCTTCTCAATAACCTAGACAAGGTGCAAGCTTCAACTGTCTGTGGAGAGTGAGGAGCAAGCTTTGGGTCTCCTGGCATTTGTAGACTCTGTCCTTTCAACCATGGGTGATCCAGCCACTCATGAGCCTGTAATGGGGCTTAGCTCACCACTTACTCCAGGAAGTCATCCCCAATGCTGAAGTCCCAGCCTCTTGCTCTAGTCCCTCATCTGGCCCTGCCTAGCACCGGCCACTGTGATAAGTAGCTCCTGTTACATTCCTGGCTTGATCATTCTGTCCTTTCTACACTTCCCAGGAAAGTGTAGTGCTTGCTTTGCAAAATACAATATTGCTTATTGAAGAATTGATAATCTTAATAGCAATGATAGCAGCTACCATTTACTGAATTCTGTCATTTTTTTCCTGTGTAATGTAGATGAGAGGGCTGGCTAGCCAGCTCAGCTGGTAAAGACACTTGCCTCTAATGTGACAATGTGAGTTCACTCTCCAGGTCATACGCCATGGAGAGAGAAAATAAACACAAGTTGTCCTCTGACCCCCACACATGCTGTGCCCACATATACCTTACTATACCCCCCAAATAAATATAATAATAATTTTACATCATAGGAGAGATTAGGAGTGGATCATTCATGGATGAGGAAACTAAGGCTTGGGAATAATCCGTTGAGGCAGGGTCATAACCTGGGACTTGTCTGGCCCCCACCTGCTCCTAATCTTAGGATCTTATTTGTCCACATTCCTGTTGGTGCCACCCAGGAGAGGGCAAGGGGCAAGTCCTTAGCAAACCCTCAGGGGCCTGATGACAGGTTGATTAAAGACATTTTCCAAAGCAGCGGCCACGTCTAAATTTGGAGGGTTACGCCTTGCGTGTGGCTTGGGAGAGAGAACCTGAAAGATTCCCGGGCCCCTGGATGTGGGGCCATCTCCCTGGGAAAGGAGAAGGCTGAGCAAAGCAGAGCCACTGGCCTTTGGACCACCTGGCCTCAAGAGCTCCAGGACACAGCTGGGCTCAAACCCAGGACTCATAAACCCAGGTCCCCTCGCCTGTCTGCAATTCTAACCTGCACAAGAACAATTCTGCCTCAGTCCTTCAGACATGCTGAGCCTGGTCCCACCTCAGGGCATCTGCATCTCTACCCCCTGCTTGAAAGGCTCTCCTCTCTAGTCCTCCCCCACCTGCATCTGAGACCACTTCCTACAACCACCCTCTTCCTTCTCCAATGATGACCTTGAGACCTTGTGCGTGTGTGTGTGTGTGTGTGTGGTGTGTGCACATGTGTGTTTTCTGGTTTACTTCTGTCTCCTTCATTAAACAGGGGCTTCTGGAGACTCTTGTCTGCTCCCTAATCCAGTCCCTAGCACTAGGTATGATACAACGACAGGTGGTAAGTGCCATTGACTGCAGGAATGAATAGGCTTCCTCCTTTTAGACATATTGGCAGATCAGCCCATCATACCCCATGCTCACCCCACCCCAGCAATGTGTAGCCCTTTTCACATCCAGATCTCCAAGCCCTTGGAAAGACAGAAGAGATACAGGAAGGGATATTGGGCACAAGCCACCATGTGCCTTTTTGCACAGATGACTGACACTCTATACACACTCAAGGACTGTGTCCATTTTGTTTCTGGGGATACTGACACTTGCACCCTGCCTAGCCTCTGGTGCCTAGTACCATGCGCAACATAAATGTCTGCTGAGTTGAACTGCACTGACTGAGTTGGAGGCTTAGTGAATGACTCAAGATAGCCAGAATTTGCATTTGGTTCAATCCAGTTCTACAGAGCTGTTCTATAAAGCTGGAGGGACAGAGTGGAAGACAACGCCTCACCCAGGCATGGACCTATCCTGCACCTCAAGTTGCCCTCAGCATTATCTTAGCTTGAGCAAACTCCCAGGACGCTGCTGCTGCTTGGCCCTGCTCCTTTGCTCCACACACAGAATGCCCTTTGTCCACATTCTGTCACAGAGGAATAAATCGTAACTACATATCCTGCAAGTGGTTTCTCATGCCAAGTATAATTATCTTCTAAAGAGCCACAGCTCTGAGTCACACCACACAGCAGGAAAATGTCGTGGAAATACCCCACTCAGAGTTGCAACAGGGAGCGAGTTAAAACAGCCTTTGTTGCTCATAGTCTGGTGAGCCCTGAACTTGCACTTTTGCCTGAAGGTAGAAGCTGGTGCTGTCTCTGCTCATTGCCCACAGTTTGAGTATCAGTGTCCTGAGTGCTCCATTCTGTGGATGATGTGACTAAGGCTCAGGTTAGTGGCATGTCCAAGTCACACCCTGCAGGTGAAATGAGGTGTCTGCGCTGCCATTTCCCAGTGCTCTTTTGCCTTGGAAAACTCCTCTATGTTTTCTTGAACCATTATTCCCTCTGAGCCTCTTTATGTCCCCTCTCTGCTGGCACAATCCCCAACTCCTACTCTCACGATCACAGATCTCCCACCAAAATCTAGCTCAGGAATTGTGTCCTGAAAGCCTGCCCCTCGCCACTCTTTTCTGCCACTACTCTCCGACATGTTTGTATATAATGCTTGCCTGCCTGCCTGTCCTTAGAGCCAGAGTCTGTGTCCTAGTCCTCTTTGTATTTAATCATTGGAGTAATAACTGAAAAATAGGAGGCCCCACTGAAATACACATTGAAAAAGCTGGGGATGTAAAGCATTTGTCTAGAAATACCTTTTGGATGAAAGAATATATTGAGAGGATGGATGCATGGATGCATGGATGGATGCATGGATGGATGGATGAACAGGTTAATAGCATCTGGGTGAATGGATGCAAGGATGGATGAGTTGGTGGATTGATGGGTGAATGGATAGTGTAAGTGGTTGAATGTGTGGGTGGATATACTGAAATGGTAAGATGTGTGGGTTGGTGGATGGATGAGTGGAAGGATGGGTGGATGAGTTGGTGGGTGGATTGATAGACGGGTGAATAGAAGATGTGTAGATGGGTGGATGGATGGGACAATGAATAGTGGGTGGTTGGATTGTGTGTTGGTTGATGGATAGATGGAGAAATTAATGAATAGACACTCCTATGACATATCCTATAAATGTCATTTTCATAGCAAAATTGAGGTTAGCCCCCAGTTCTGCTAAAACACAAGCTAAAATCTAGCTGTTTGCATACTCCAAAAGTAAACAGAAATGATTGCATCTTATCAAGTGTCTGATGAGTGTATATTTATATGACAGCCTTGTACAAATCATTTCTACCAGTCTTCTCAATAACTCTTTTATTGTCCCACCTTTCCTGGTAAGAAATAGATACAACTGGGTGTGATGGCACAGGACTTTAATCCCAGCACTCAGGAGGCAAAAGCGGGCAAATCTTGTGAGTTTGAGGCAAACCTGATCTACAAAGTGAGTTCTAGGACAGCCAGAGCTATGTAGAGAAACCCTGTCTTTAAGAAAACAAAACAAAAAAGATACAGAGGGGCAGACAGAGTAGCTTACCCAAAGACACACTAGATATCTATTATTTTGCCAACTACTCTATCCTTTCCCACTATCCCTTCTGGACCACCCTCAAGTTTTACGGGCTGAACTGGGCTCACCTCCATCTGCATAGGTCTCCGTGCCATAGCCGTCCTGTAGGCCATTGTTCCAAGTGCCCTCATATTTGGCACCGCTGCTCGTGCTCTGCCGGATTCCGTAGCGCCCCTTGAAGCCATGCGTCCACTCTCCCTTGTAGAGCCAGCGCCCCTTGGTCTCTATACCAAGCCCATGCCGTTTGCCCTGGCTCCAGTATCCCTCAAAGGTATTCCCACTGGGCCAGGTGTAGACGCCCGCCACTTCAAAGCCAAAATTCCAGGAGCCCGAGTATTCACCCTGGCCCTTGGGGCCAGTGCACAGTCCGTGCCCATGTGCCTTCCCCCCCTCCCAGCCCCCACAGTACGCTCCACCATCGTCAAAGTCAAAGCGGCCCCCGCTCATCTCATCCTCATTCCTGACACCGGCCCGGTCCTCCAGCTTGGGCCGTTGGGATACCTGATGCTCTCCAGGTACCTTCAGACTGAGCCCCTAGACTCAGCACCGGGCTCCAGAAAGTGGGAAAAAGCAAGATGCCTGCAGAGGCTGAAAGAGACCAAAGGCCAAGTCAGCAGTGGGGGCGCTGGTCAAAGCCATGGCTGGGAGGCCCCCTCAGTCATCCCAGCAAGGCTGCAACTGGGAAGGAAGCCGACAGAAGAGGCTCCAAGTTCCTACAAAGCGTCCCAGGTCCAGCTTCCATGGAATCCGGGGTGCCCTCTTTAAGAGGAGTGAAAGGAGTGGAGTCCTGTCTTTCCAAAGAGGGGCAATTCCCAAGTTAGCAGCCTAGCCAAGGCTGAATTCCTGCTGCCCACCCTGAAGCAGCCGCTGGCCCCCTTCTCATCCACCCCAGTGGGCGTGCGGCTCAGATCTCCCGGCTGCCCCGCCCCTTCTCCAGCCCTGCCTTCCTCCCAGGATAGAAAGGTCAGTGTTGCCCTAACAAGGCCATTGGATCTCAGAAGCTGCTCCCAAAATAACCCCCTGGCTGGCCCAGCCTCCTTCAGAGCCGGAGGGAGGGGGGCTTCCAATCCGCTGGGCCTGCAGACCCAGGCAGTGGCTGAGGGCTGAGCAGGAAATCTGAGAACCAAGTGTGGACAGCCGCGCCACTTGGTGGCCTGCCTTCTTGTGAGTCTGGGCTGCCTCCCATCTGCGAGTCCCCAGGATCCGCAGGCAGGAAGAAGAGCATGAGACTATGCTATCCCAGACCACTTCATATCCTCCTGATGGCAGAGGGTGAGAGGGTGACAGACATAAGGCCCTATAACTTTTAGCATGCCATGACAGGGCCTGGGGCTTCAGTACCACTTGCCAACCCCTTTGAAGAATCCAGTGACCTACAGAGACAGACATGGGGAAATGGTTGCACATATGCCTTTGAAAGCAGAGTGGACCTCAGAGAGGAGAGGGTCTAGCCACAGTCTGAAACACAGCAAGTCAGAGTCCTGTGCTCCTGTCCGTATCCGACCCCACACCCAGCCTAGGTTCTGGGGAGAACCCTGGTAGAAGGAATCAGTCAGTTCAGGAGGCTGGGGAGATGGCTCAATTGGTAAAGTACCTGCCACACAAGCTTGAGTTGGATACCCAGAACCCAGAGGGAAAAAAAGAAAAAAGAAAGAAAGAAAGAAAAAGGAAGCCAGGTGCTGTGACATGAGCTTGTAATCCCAGAACTGGGGAGACTGGCAGGTTCCCAGGGATCACTAGCTGGACAATATAGCCTAATTGGTTAGCTCCGGGCTAATGAGAGACACTGTTTAAAAAAAAAGTTGGGGTGTCACCCCAAATTGACGTTTAGCCTACACACAGAGAGAAAGAGAGAGACAGACAGACAAACAGAGAGAGGAGAGAGAGAGAGAGAGAGAGAGAGAGAGAGAGAGAGAGAGAACCCTTTCCCGTGTCTCTGGAACACACACAATTCCATGAGCAGGGAGGAGACTGGCCTCCCCTCTGTTCTTCTGACACAGGCTGGGCTCTGGCAGAATGAAAATCACTTAGAAATACTGAAGGTCATTATTTTTGCAATACCCCCTTCCCAAGTTTTCTTCTGCTCTGGCATCCTAAGAGCCCACGAGGCCAGGCTTCAAAAGGCTCTTGGGACAGGAGCAAAGGGCTTGGATGGGTTTCCAGCACCCTGGTTTCCACCAACCTCCAGTAAGAATTAATAAATGTCCAAGGCAAGGAAGACACTAAGCCCTAACTAACTGGGTCCAGGTTGAACAGGAATGATTCTGGAAAAGTTAACAGCACCAAGAAAGAATCTGAAGTGTGTGTGTGTGTGTGTGTGTGTGTGTGTGTGTGTGTGTGTGTCCATGAGCGTGTGGAAGTGTGCATGTGTTCATAGTATGGCTGGAATGGAGAAAGGTTAGAAAAAAAAAAAAAACACCTAAGACCCAGGAGAGCATTAGACTATTGCCTGACTCAACCATGCCTGCCTGATATATTTCCAAGTCCCATGATGGCCACGGAACGTCACTGCAGACATTCCCTGCAGAGCTCCCTGAGCAGAACGTGTTCTCTGCCTTCCTCACTCCTCACTACTGATAACCAGTTCTTATGACTCGGTTCCTGCTAATCGCTGGTTCTCATGACCATGTGCATAGCCACTGACCTTGCCGAGTCCCTTTGGTGTCTACACAAACTGTTGTCTTGGCCAGGTGGCTGGCATCCTGCCCAGGTGGACCTCCAGCCTATTCAGGCAATTCTCCACCAAGAATACTTTCCCCACTTTTTTCCCAAATTCTTTCCAGCTTGGCAATCACTGGAAAAAGAATGATAAAACAAATAGAGAGGAGTGCAGAGTGCCTAAGTGTCCACCAGTCACTGTAATGGTGACCTAAGGTTAGGTGTATTCCAGGAGGGGTTCCATCCACATACATTTAGCCCTTTTCACCCCTACAGGCTCCCTGTGATGGATCCCTTCCAGAAGAATCACCTGCAATCGAGATATTAAATACCTTAACTTTGAAGTGTTCTATCACTTCCTTCAGCATCACCCTTAATTTTAAGGGAAAAAAAAATGAATACTGCTTCTGGGGAAAGCTCGCCCTCTTGTGGTTATGCATTATAATGGACTTTCCTTAGGTAAACAAAGAATCTGATCCCTTAGGCACTGTGTATATGCGGTGTATGGACATACATGCAGGCAAAATACTTACACACATGAAATATTTGGGGGGAAACGTGTCTTCGCAGGGGTCTTGCCTCTGCCAGGCTGTGTCATCAGAGGCAGTCACTCCTTCCCTCAACTTCCTTCTCCATTTTTCACACTGGGCTGCCTCCTGGGGAGCCCAGGATGGGGAGGGAACCTAAGAGGGATTTGACTTCTGAAAGCCTGGGGAAGGTCCACCCACCTTCTCAGGAACCTTTTTGCCTAGCATCTGGGGCAGCTTCTCCCAGTCTGGCTTCTCCTAGACCCCTGTGCAAAGCAAGGATTATCTTTGTTCTACTATATAAATACTTGCTGTTTGTGTCCCACACTGGCCCCACCCATGCCTGCGGTGGGTGTTCCTGTCTCTTCCCATGTGTGCAGAGACCTCCCTTGTTAAAACTTTTTTCAGTTGACTTTTGAGTATTCCTCTTTGGTTAGCCCCCTGCCTCAAGAGGCCCCTGCCTGTTCCCTGACCATTGTACCTTGGATGTCCTGGAACTTTCCTTATTCCAGACAAGATTTCACAATATTGCCCAGACTGGCCCTTGAAATCCTGGGCTCAAACTATCCTCCTGCCTCAGCCCCCTGAGTCTAGTACTGTGCCTAGCAATTATTCAACTGTATGTGTATGCACTCACGTGTGCTTTACAACTAAATCCCCGAGTCTGATTTTGTCAGTTTTTAAATTACACCTATTTATTTGCGTGTGCACATGTGAATGGCACAATGCAGGTGGAGGGCAAAGGATAACTTTCAGGAGTTAGTTCTCTCCTTCCACCAGATGGGTGGGTCCCAAGGACATTCACCACAGGCCATCTTACCTGCTCCTCTGATATACTCACAGCCTAAGTGAGTGTTCTCTTCTTATGCTTTTAAAAACTTGGTTTTTGAGACAGGGTTTCTCTGTTTAGCCCTGGCTATCCTAGAACTCTGTAGACCAGGTTGGCCTCAAACTCACAAAGATCCACTTACCTCTGCCTCCCTAGTGCTGGGATTAAAGTTGTGTGCCACCATCACCCAGCAAAAACTTTATTTAAAGTAAATTGTTTATTTCAAATAGGTCTTTCTAACAGTTTCAGCACCCCCCAAATAAGCATAAAGTACATTATTCACACAAACTCCCCCTAATTTCTATTTAAAAAAATCTATCAGCATCATTTTTAAAAACCCATATACTAATAGCTCCTAAATTTGGCTCTCCAGCTGTGCTTCCCCTGATTTTAGTAATTTCACAAGCACTCAGCTGCTCTACATAGCTAATAAGCATCATACAAGAATAAAACCAAATCCCTAATCCCTCCTCCCAAATCTGCACCAAACTTGTCTTTGTGTCTTCCCTTTACATCCCCACCCACTGGCTACCTCACTCACTCACTAGGAGCCAAAGCTTTTCAAACTGCCCACTGATCATCCACAAACGCCCCCACCCCGCACCTCTGACCTCACTTGCTTGAGCAATCTTTAGGTTCTGGTGGCTCTGTCTCTCATGAGTACCCTTCCTCAACTGTCCATATGGCTCTTTGATTCCTTCAGGTCACTTTATCACGAACACTTCTGGGGCTGAAATCTCACCTCTCTAACCCAACCCTTCCTGTCTCCTAATCCTTCCCAATCCATAACCATGTATAATTCACCTTTCCTCGCTGACAAGGACATTGTTCTGCATACTGTTGTATTCCCAGCTCCTGGTACAATGTGCACGGCTTATGCTACAAAAAAGAAATACCCAGTGACTACTTAGAGTACCAAAATAAATGTATATGGAAATTAGGAGGCTCCTTCACAATGAGTCTGTGCCCTCACCTCTGTCATCACAGAACCCATTTCTTAGGACACACCAAATTAGTTTGGTAACCACAAAATCCATTTTTCTTGGGACACTGCTAGTTTGGTTAATAACACTCACAGGACCCCTAAACCCTTTGGCAAGGATCAAGTGCGATAAATCACATCCACAAGGGTCAACTGCTCTCATGAAAGGACATTTAAGTTGAAATTTGCTCAACTGGATGTGAGCAGGATAATTCTTAACCTCGGGATTCATGTTTGCTGTTTTGAGACAAGGTCTTAGCTTGTAGCCCAGGCTGGCTCTGAACTCTGACTCCTCCCAAGTTGTAATTACAAGTGATACAACACCCTAATAAGACTGTTTTGAGGTAGATTTGAGTGGAATACAAGTAACTTATGGCTTATTCCCACACATCTGACCCCTTCAAGAAGTTACTAGGTCAGAGGGACTGTATTGTATAAAACAAAATACAAAAAAGGCTTAGAAATGTACCTGAATTCGTTTTAAGTAGCTTGTTAATAACTACAAATACTTTCCCCACAGTAAGACAAAACGCTAGTTGTTGGAATGGAAGCCTTACACATCCTGTGTAAGTGGCTCTCTGCAGTCTGGGAAGCCCTGGCGTCTGGACCTTTTGAGGAATCTGAAGTTAGTTCACTCATAGAGGTGCACAAGTTACTGGTGACCACCTCATTTGTGCTGCAGAATACATGCAGCAAATGTCCTTGAATTCCAACATTATAGAGATATGTGAAGCAAACTATTCTGTCCTAGAAAAGCTGTCTTAAGATGTACAAAAAACAGCTATGCAGTGGTTTCCTACACCTTTAATCCCAGCATTCAGGAGGCAGAGGCAGAGGCAGGCAGAGCTCTGTGAGCTCGAGGCCAGCCTAGTCTACAGAACAAGTTCTAGGACAGGCTCTAAAGCTACAGAGAAACCCTGTCTCACAAAAAATA